GTATTGGTTAACTGCCGTTAACCAATACCGGAAACCTAAACCCCGGGGTTTACGCCGACACGGATGCCCTGTTGCGACACTAACGAAATCATTTTTTTGCTTAAACCCTCTACTCAAGTACGAGCGCGCAAGTTCATGAGCGACCATAACAAGCCCGATCAGAGCCGATCGACGCGTGTAATGGTAAAAGATTATGTGAACGGGCAGATTATCTTTGCTCACGCACCGCCTCTGCGAGACGTTGTGGACGGGGAAAGCGGTATCGCGCCGGGAGTACGCGCTAAGAAGGCAGCATTGGTGCACCAACGACAGGACGCGGCGCAAATCGCTTTAGCAACTACGGGAGCGAGCAGCAACGCGCCTGTGAAAGGGGCACATGCAATGTCTAAGAGACTGGTAGCCCGCGATTTGTGGGTCAGACGTGGTGAGGGCGCGGGTGAGCTGGTCGAAGAAACACGAGCATCGACAATTCATGCGGTGCAACGCAGCTACTGCGTCGTCCGCCCTCGCCGCCCTCCTTACACTGGCAGTGCCAATCTACCTCTAACTGCTCTCGCTGCCCTTTGCCCGCTGCCTCCGCTCCTCAACGCCAAGCTCGTCCACCTCACGGCCGCCCCTGGTCTTCCTGTCGTCTGTTCCGCTCTACTCCGCAGCTCCCTCCGCGCGCTACCTCGATGTAGCCCCGCCACTGCTAGCCACCTCGCCGTCGCCTCACCGCTTCTCGCCACCCTCCCGCATTTGCTGGAGGCCTTCTCGCTGTCTGCGTCCCCGCCGTGTTCGTCGCCTCCCTGTCCCGCCGCCCCAACCGGCGCGACGCCCTCGCCGGCGCGCTACTGCGCTGTCCTGCTCGCCTCCACGCTTCTCCTCTCTCAAACCCCGCTCGCCCTCGCCCCGTTGCTCAACCTCGCCTCAGCGGACCCCGCTGCGGACTTCGCCGCCCGCTGCTGAGGCGCCGTCAGGTGACCTGCGCCGACAAGAACCTGGCCGGCTCGGCCGCCTTCGTGCTCGCCACTCTGCCCGCCTCCGCCCTCGGCCTGCTCATCTTCCGCCGCGCCGGCCTCACGTCTCTCACCCCCGACAGCCCGCCCACCCCTACACTCAGTCAGGAGGGAAGAAGGAATGAATGAAGGAGGTATGGGAAGAATACTGGGGACGTCTTCGAAAACATATCTTTCTTATACCAGTCCAGGTAATTAATTCGGTTTATTGCCGTGTCCCACCACCACCCGGCGCTTCTATGAGCGCCACGGAAAATGTCTTGGAACCTGGGGATTTCTTGCGCTACTCGCATAAACGAGAACGCACAGACAAGGAAACAGAAAAGGAGGTCAGGTATTCCGGATTGAGTTTCAACTTACTTCAGGTTAGCTATCGTCTGGCTCTTGTAGATCACCAGAAACGTTTCTATGCTGCATGTATTTCTGCATGAGTCGCTGATAGTGGAGTTGTGCTGCCCTCAATATTCCATTATCGCTTGCGAGATCTGACATTTTCTTATCCGCTTCCGCCCTCTCTGCTGCTTTAAATGTCAACTCAAACAATTTGTCCAAGTCCTGCTCCTGTAAAAGATCTGCATGCACGGTTGACTTCTCATTTCCAGCGATGTTCACTTCGCTGCTATTCGCCATTTGCTGCACTACATCAACAAGCGAAGATAAATGCCCCTGAATACTGTTGTTCTCGGTTGCATATGACTAAGTGGACCTACTGCTACGTCTTTTCGCACGTAGATGCTCCGTTGCCTCACCAGATATGCCCTCATCATAGCCAATTTTCCCTTTGACTAGTTTTGTAGTGCATTCCAAAAAAGACGTGTCCTCATCAGGTCTCCCGACTTGTGCAACAGAAAGAATAATCCACAGCCGCGTCGCAAAGATGTGCAGTCTGCCATTGACTCTTGGCAAAAAATTCACAAACGTGTTCGGATCATTATTTCCGGAAATGTTCCAACGGCTTATATATGTTGTAAACTTTGATCACGCGTTGCTGAATTGAGATTTTAGGACCCCTCCACTTCGTACTGCGAGAGGTGGAAGCGACGGGTTAGTGTCTTGTCCTAATGTGCCATCAAAAGGAAAGTGCAGAGACAACGAAAAATCATTAAACCGGTTAGCAATAGTACCCCAAAAATTATCCCGTCCTATACCTGAGGTATAGGACGGGGTAATTTTTGGGGTGCGAGACGCAGGCTGCGTCTTCCTGTGTGCGTGTCAATTCCTGGTGCAAGTTCATGAAGGCATTTCTCGCCTTTTCGTCCTCCTTTAAAATCACAATCAGTCGGGCAAATTCAGACAGCGAGAAGTCAGGGGTGTTTCGATCGAGCAGTTGCACTTCGGCGCCTTGTCTGGCGCTTTAGGGGGCTTTTTCGTTCTGTCTGCCAAATGGATCTGCTGCCGTACGACATGAATGTTTTTGCTCTCCGACTGGATCTCTATGCTTTTCCAGCTCGAATTCGATATCATCAGTGTGCGGAGCTTGAATATAAGGTTCGTTTTTTCGCTCTTTTTCTGAAGGTAGTCAAATATGCCCTTACAAAACTTATTCTCTTTGATGATCTGTACAGGATCTTGTCCGAGAGAAACGCGTTCTTTGACAAATCTAAACATTCGATAAACCTGCGTGAGCTTCAATCCTGTCGTCCGCTGTTTCCAAACTCGCCCGATACTTCTTTAATCACTTTTTGTCATTTTGAAAAAGTAGTTGTAGATGTGCTGGATGGTAACATCCGGTAGAGCGTCATCGACAGATCTTGGCGAGCTAATTACTTCCGCACCAGGAAATTGGGGTGGTGGACTAATCACGCAGCTGTTTGCGCTGCACGATGGATCATCAACTCGGCATTTTTTCAGAAGGCGGGGCGACTGTCGGATGACCACAGATCCTGAGGTATTCACTGGATGCCCGACGGAGAGGAGAAAGTTTGCGGGGGAAGACGACATTGTGAGTAAAGTTACTGAGGGGAAGTGCTGATCGAGGTTTGGTGTCGTGGACCAAAGCGGCAAGAGGTACTCTCTGGAAACTGGCGCCTTTTTTGTAAGCTAGTTTTGGATCCAGATTCGGACTTCTTCGAAGTTTGTACGTGTATACTTCTCAGAGCAATACAGTACACTGTATTGCTCTGAGAAGTATACACGTGTCTTTTACATATGTCAATGACGAGGTTCTGTCCTCGGAGATGTCAGAAACAGTTCGAATTTGAACATGTTGAACTGTAAGCCAGGGTTATTAACTTAATATAGTGAAAGGCCAATGGAGTATCGCCAGGTCAGAAAATTGATATAATAAGGGTGGTGGTGGGCAAGAACGTGCTCTGTTAAGACCGGCCCTGAGGGTTGGAGCGGTAGGGCTTGCTGCGGTTCATGGATGCCTGAAATATGCTCTGACCCCTCTTAGATGCTTTAAAGCTACGCAGTTTGTGGTGGCCCTCATGCTATAAATATCTAAAAGTAATCTTTAAAACATCCAATCAGCATTTAATCATCTTTCAGGCATCCTTTTGACATCCAGTCCCTAAAGCACGTATCAGGCCGTCACCCGATCAGCATCTCCTACACATCCAGGACCCATCCAAAATATATCCAAAATTATCTAATAGACATCAAATAAACATCCCATATACATCTGCATACTTTACTGGGACGGCGACGGGGCGTATGATAAAAGAGGAGGAAAAGTTGAAGGATGAAGGAGTACGCATGGGGGTTTCATTTATTTTTCCAAGGGACGAGGATGGCGTCGCTAACATAGCGCCACCTCAAGGAGGTACTACGTTGAGAATGGGAAAGTGAGGGTGATTTACGGAGGCGGTTCCCGGAAGGATTTCCCTTCCGGGAGAGAAGTGAGGAGAGGAGCCGCGCAGAATAGAAGGAGGAACCCCGATGCGGGCTCGCCAATCGTAGGAATGGATGGCTAGGAGGGGGAGGTGACCGGGTAATATACCAGCGCCGTCGGCAAGTTTATTTTCGATATTCATGGTGTCGCGAACGCCAAGATCGCAGAACCAAGGAGCAGCCGCGAACAAGAGGGGATGCTCACGCATGGACTTGTCGTGTAGTTCGGCGATGGAGGGGTAGCGACGAGGAGAAGGATTAATTTGGGGAGTGGGTTGGAAAATGGGGTGGGAACGGGGATCATGAGGAAGAAGTCGATGAATGGAAGGAAGACCACGGGAAGCTCGAGGTTGGGAAGGATGGCCAACTCCAAGGCGCTTGCGGATGACATTCT